TACCACCTACCTTTTGGATTATTGGGAGTTTCCTGTATCAAGGCACATGAAACACACTTACAACTGGGCCTGACATGAAATGCTTGAAAGTGTGATCTAGGATGACCCCCATTTTATATTGAGAAAACAGAGGCTCTGGGTGTTAAAATTGGTCATCCGAGGCCACGCAGTCAAGTGTTGGAGGCAGGGTTGCTGAAATCAGATCTTTGTTGATAGTGGTTGTTAATAAACATTCAGATATTGGTGTTGCCTCTAGTCCTGAGATGAGGAAGTAGATTACTTGTACCTTTAGGGAAGAAGCATTAAAAGGAGTGGTGTGGGAGGAAGGAGAGAGAAAGGGGAAAAAAGGGTTTGCCCAGCATCAGCGGTGGAAGATGTGTGCTTTAGTGACTGGTTCTGTGGAGTAGGGAAGATCTGGCTGTGGGTGGGAGGTTTCCAGTCCCACTGCTGGATGTTACCACAAGAGACTTCTGTGCTACTGGGGACCAGAAATCCTCTGGGGATGAGGCACAGGACTGTCACAGAGGGCACAGCACCAAAACACCCATCTCTTGGCAGCTTCAGAGAATGTACCTCCCTGGGAAGGACCTGCGGAAAGGCGAGTTTGGGACCCCAGGGGATGTGGTCCCTCCTGGGGCTGTGATCCCTCCTGGGACTGCAGAAGAAATGGCACTGGGCCTCTGCAGAGTGAGCAGTACCCAGAGAGACAAGAAAAAATCCCAGTTCTGCCCGCCAGTAGAGCAGTAATCATGACTGTGCTCGCCTCCAGCTCACCCACACACACAGTGGACCCAGAAGGATTCTAAAATGATCATTTCATTTCCAAAGTCCCCCTGCTTCTCTTTGAGATGGTGGCCAACTGATTGCTTCTTAACCTTTTGGGGCTACAAACCCTTTTGAGAACAGGAAAATTGTGAGTACTCCCTCAGGGGGAAAAAGAAGTCTTCCTTGTGCCAACAGGGTTGACCAGCTGCCTTGGTTTGCCTGGATGAGGGGTTTCCCAGGCTTAGTGCTAAAAACCCAAAAGTTCTTGCCAACCCTCTACGTCCACAGTTCTGCCTGCAGCCTAAGGGCCTTGCAGACAACCTTCCCCACCCACCCCGCCCTCTGGAGCCTACTTCAGTCTAAGGAACTCTGCCGTCATCCGTTTAATTTATTTGTTGAAGACAAAACCTGTTTGTGTGGACGGTTAAAGAAACTGACCTTCAGTGACTCAGGTAACAAGAAACCCAGTTCTCATGTCTATAGTGTGAGTGTGCCTGTCGGCTCTGGGACCCTGCACCATTTTAACAGCAGTATTAACTCCCCCAGGGAGCCGGCAGGGCAGGATCTTCGGCTGTGAAGTATATTTTTCTTCTGATGCAAAACCAGCAACTTGTCTGGAGTGACCTGGTTTGTGAGGGGCCGTGGCAGAGCGGACAGTCTGAGGGCAGCTCCCTCCAGAGGGAGTGTCGCCGTTTCTGAGCAGTAACAAGCTTCGGCTAGGTTGATAGTTCAAACCGGTATTCCCTCAGAGCCCACTTCAACCCATCCACTCTTGTCTGGTGTTAGAAACCTGCTAGGTGGATTGCTTGTCCTATTCAAAGGGCAGTTCAGGGTACATCTTCCAGACACAACAGAGCTGAGGACTGTGGTGAAGACAGAGGAACTCGGCCATGCTGGGGACAGAGGCGGTGCTGACCACTCTCGAGAGTGTACTGATCACTTCTGGGAAGCATCCTCCCCTGGGCTTGGGTGCAACTTTGCTTGCTCGCACACTCTGTAAAATATGCATACCATAATATGTACCCTCTTAACCATCTTTAAGTATACAGTTCAGTAGTGTCGAGTATGTGCACAGTGTTGGGATCAGATCTCCAGTTTTTCGTCTTGCGAATCTAAAACTCTGTGCCCAATGAGAAGCAACTCCCCTACTCCCCGTAACCACCATTCCACTTTCTGTTTCTGTAAATGCGACTACTTTGGATGCCTCACAGAAGTCGAATCATGCAGGATTTGTCTTCTTTACTCTCTTGCCCTCTTCACAGAGGAGGTGCCTTGGTTAACAAGAGGTTGGGATCATAGTCACTCCACATGTGACCACTGGGTCCTGGTCTTGTACAGAGGGGTGGCACTGAGAGACAACACAGCCCAGATCTACCCTCCTGCTGAGTGACCCACATTGATGATGGCCTTGGTGACGTTTACAAATTCGGGACATGGCCACTGGTGGCCTCTGTCCTCCACTCCCTGCACCACTAGGGGATGGCATAAAGCAGAACCAACCCAGCCCCATCTACCTTGTCCCTCCTCGACACACAGGCTCTGTAGGCGATATCCCCTGTGATGCCGTAGGTCACGGGGTGGATGAAGGCAGGGCTGGAGTCAGCCTTCCTGCCCTGTGGACATCAGATTTGACTTTTTATCTTTAAATTGGCCAGTGGCTGCGCTGGGCTGAGCAGCTGACCCCATCTGTCTAGTAGAACATTTCATCAGATGTCACTGGGGTGATTCTCCTGGCTACAGACAATAACCCAACAAGTGTTTAAAATACTCAGTCTCGGGCTTCATGTCAGAGCAACTGAATCTGAGAGTGGGAAGGGGGCTACACTGGGCACCACATCACCATCAAGCAAAGATGCTGCAGGTGGTTTGCACTGCAGTGAGGATGGAGACTCGCTGCCAAGGCCAGTGTCAGATTCTAGCACAGGGCAGATGCAAGGACTGTAGGAGAGGCAGGAGGGTGTTTCCTCCCTGGTTCTGAACCTTGAGTGGACATCAGAATCACCTAGCCCTCACCTGGGGAGATCCTGAGTCAGTGAGTCAGGTTGAGGCCCAGGAGCCTGCATCTTCCGCAAGCGCCAGCCCTGAATTTATTTCTCCGTCTTTGGAAATGTTGATTCATTACTCTCAGACAGCCCAATCTGAGGACTATTTTTCTATTGGATAAATTAAAACCCTCATGAAAGTTTAATGCAATGATTTTGTTACCCAGGGATTGGACTGCTTGATGATTTTAGAAGATAGTACTTCCTAGCCTTGCTTGAAACCCGGTGGCCCACTCAGCACCGGGAATCAACCCAAACTCCCCCTGTGGCCCACACAATTGGACCCCTTCACCTCTCCCCGTTCCTCCTGCCACCTTCTGCCTGATTTTATATTCAGCCACTCTGGCCTCAGTCTCTATTCCTTGGATGTGACAAGTTCACTCTTACCCCAGGGCCTTTGCACCATCTGTTCCCTCTGCCTGGGATGCTCTGCCCAGAGATATTCCCATGGCTGTGTCTGTTTCCTTTTTTGTCACTCAGATCTAAGCTCAAATATCACATCAGGAGCAATCTTCCCTTATTAACTGTTCATTTTATCTCATGATCTGGTTTTGTTTTTTTCACAGCTTGAGTTCCTTGTTTGTGTATTTGTCTGTCTCCCTTTAGTGCATGAAGGCGGAGTCTTTATTTTGTTCCCCACTGAATCCTCTTGCATCTAGGACAATGCCTGGCATGTAGTAGATGCTCGGAAAATATCTGTCAAACAAATAAATAAATGAATGAATGAACGGTGATGCCAGGTCTCTCTGGAGAGGCCACTGAGGAACCAAGGTAGCAATGGTTACTTCCTAGGGGTTAATGTGGTCAACCCCACCAATCAGGAAGCCAAGGGGCGGTTGACCCCAGCGGGCCTCCACCCAGGAACCTGACACTGATCACAGCTCTTGCCATACTTTCAGACTTCGAGCATCTGTAAGACGGCCGTGCACGCAGGAGTCATCAAGAACGAGAGTGGGGGTTACGTGGATGTGATGCCCGTCGATAAAAAGAAGACCTATGTGGGCTCACTCAGGAACGGGGTTCAGTCTGAAAGGTAGGACTGCGTTCTTGGACTCTTGACAACCAAGGCCAGTGGGGAGCATCGGAGGAGGGCCAAAGATGGTGCCCTTGAAAATCAAACGTGGGCAGACTTGCATTGATTCTCACCAGAATACCCAGGGCAGGCTTGTCCTTTTCTTTTATATTCCTTTTTTTTTTCAAAATAACTTTTTCCTGTTACCAAACCAGTACGTGTTTTTGTAGACAATTTAGAGACATCAGAGAAGCCCAAAGGAAAACAGTCATCCGTAGCTTATCTCCCCGTCTCCAGGGGCAGTTACTGAGATTTTCAGTGTATGTCCCTCTGATCCTTTTCCTATGTGTTCATGCATCCTTCTCACCCCCAACAAAGCAGTGGGATCAAATTATAGTTACACAGTGGTTATGTATAGCTGCATCATGATACAGTTGCAGATCATAACATAAATAAGGGCAGAGTCTGAAGTACGACAGACCAGGCAGGGCTCTGCTTCCTGCCAGCGTGGTGACCTCGGGCAAGCCATCTGCTTTCCTGTGCCTCCGTTTTCTCACCTGTGGCACCGGAGTCTCCTAGGGCTGTTGGGAGACTTGATGGGAGACTCTCCTTGCAAGGACACCAGGCCCACCCTAATGACCTAATTTTCATTTTATCACCTCTTTGAAGTCCCTGTCTCCCAGGACAGTCCCATTCTGGGAGTACTGGGGGTTGAAACTGCAACATGTGAATTTTCAGGGGACACAGTTCAGCCCATAACAGAGAGGAATGTGGAAGATTTTACATATGAGGGGCCTGTTGAGAAAAGGAATGTAGACTCAAGAATGAGATACGCCTGGGCCTTCAGAGCCTGGGCTTTCGTGGCTGCCCCACCCTCCTGTCCTCCTGGGTGCCTTGCGCCTCAGGATGGCGCTGGATGTGAAGACACTGCAGAATCAAGTGATGAGGAATCCCCGGGTGAGGGTGGGGGGTGGCTGCACGGTCACGGCCATCAGCCCCAAACAGCTTGAGTTAATAGCGTCTGCATTTTCTCCTTCAAAGTTTGCAACCTCTTTGGGGAAAAGCTTAATGAAGGGAAATTCCATTGATTTAATGGGAGGGAAATGAAGCAGCTGATTAGGTGGAATTTCCTGGCCTGGCTGGAAAGAAGTCCCAGGACACCAATCACCAATCCTTTGTACCCGTTTAAGAGAAAACAGTCTTGGTGAGAAGCTGGTAGACCCGCCTTTGTTCTCTCTGCCTCTCTTATCCTTGGGAAGGCCTCAGCAGCCCCCGCCACCACTCCAGAGCTGGGAAGGGGGGCTTATTGTGTGGCCCCCACAGGTGGGGGCCTGGTGGGGCAGGGGACCAAGGCAGGCCCCCTGAAGTGCCTTATTCCCCACTGTCGACCCCCCAGGACATCCAACCATAGTTCTCTCTCTCTGCCCAAGGGACCTGCCTGAATTGCACTGTTATAAGTACAGTTGCTCCTCGGTATCAGACCCACCCCAGACGGACACTCAGGGAGTTGGGCAGGGCAGACACGTGGACCTGCCCTCTGGGGTCCTGACGCCCACTGGAGGGTAACAACAGCAACTGTGAGGATGACACAAGGGTCACCATGTCCCTGGCACACGTAGTCAGCACTGTGCGTGATTCTGATATTTTGTGACTCATTTCTGAGTCATTCATTTACTACATATTCATGGTGCCAGGACGTGTACTGGGATCTGTGGGCATCAAGATGATGCACTTCCAGAGGGAAAAGGCTGGTCCAGGGGGGCACGTAGGTCTGACGGTACTTGGGGCTGCTGCACTGCTCGCCAGCTGGGTGTCCTCAGGCCGGCAGTCTCCTGGCACCTCGGTCCCTGCTCTGTCTGCTGTGAGCATTAGATGAGAATATGTGCAAAGCATTCACCCAGTGGCACGTAATCAGTGTCTGATGGAGCCACTGGCCCTCATTGCTGTGACGTAACCTCTAAGGCCTGCTCATGAGCCCTCACGATGTCCCAGGCACTGGGACCTGGCAGTGAACATACCGCCTGATCTCTGCCCTCCTGGGACTTATCATCTCAGTGGGAGACAGTGCAGACTAACAACTTCGGTAGCAGGGCACAGGCATCACCATTATGCTGGGAGGTGCTGGGAGCTGAGTACACTAAGCAGGGCCCCATCTTACTTTCCAGAGGTGGCTTGGTGATGTGGCTCCTGCAGGGTTGTTTGGATGCCCTGGGTGGGCCATGCCCCATCCTCCCCTTGTTTAAATGGGACTTCAGAGCCCCTCTGCATAGAGACCAGGGCTGAGGAATTTCCCCAGAGCCTTTTCCCGTTAGGGACTATGGGAACCCAGCCTAGGGTGGGAGGATGGTTCTGTCCTTAATGTCTGCCGGGACCCTGGAATGGTCACGGTGATCCCAAGTGAGATGTGGACAATGAACATACAGCAACCCATTCACAGCAAACTGCATTCTAGATTTAGGGAATCCTTTGGTCAAACAATCAAAACCTCCTGAACAGAATTATCAGTACACAGGGTCAAAAGTTGGTTCTGCTTCATGATGGCTTTGGTTTAGCAATAGTACTTTCCTAGAAGAGGATTTCTTGAAAGTTCTGAAAGATGACCATGCAGAATTGGGACAACGTAAGAGGACAGGCACCTTCTCTCTCACACACATACCCATGAAGGAGGGGAAGGAAAAGGGTCCAGAAGAGCTTTTAACGTTGGGACTGGAGTTTGTCCAAATATTCTCAGTAAGAAGCTGGACATCTTGATGAAAATAAGTTCAGGATGTTTTCTTAGACTAGGAGTATTTTTTAAGACAGATTTCACAATGAGATTGGGAAATATACCAAACAATGACAGACAACATTCTTGGTGACTTGGTTTTAACAAACACAAGGTATATACAGAGGTAGATGGTGTATATATGGATGGACTCTCATCCAGATATTCAGCTAGCATTTACGGGGCTGCTCCTGCCTGCTGGGCACTGCCCTAGGGGCTTGGGCCACATCAGAAACAGAAGAGACCAAAATCCTCATGCTCAAGGGCTTCCATCTACTTTCCCAGATGGACACTGCAAGCCACATATGGGATTCTAAAGTTTCTAGTAACCACAATAAAAGGGAACAGAAGGGAAAATTTGAAGTATATTTTATTTAATCCATTGTATCAAAAACTTATTTCAATTTGGATTAATAGATGGATTATTGGTAAGAAACTTGCATTCTTTTTTCATAAGAGCTGGGAGATCTAGTGTGTACTTTATATGCAGAGGACGTGCCAGTTTGGGTCAGCTGCATTTCAGGCACTCAGTAGCCACTGTGAGCTCTGGGAATCTCTAGAGTTGGGTGTCTGAAAATCTCTCGACATGTCTGAGAACTCTGAGAAGCAGAAACCAGTGAGCTGATATTTCCAGGTCGAATGAGCTCTGTACTCTCCCCGAAGCTGGCTGGACCAGAGCTGGGCTGGTTTCCTCTGCCATCGTCCCTCCTCCCGCCCTGCCTCCATTTCCCAGTGCTCTAAGATCTGTACACATGTGGGCTCATATAATCCTCCCAACAGCCCCATGAGATGGGAACTACGGTTATCCTCATTTTAAGGAAAGGGAGGCACAGAGAGGTTAGGCAACTTGCCCGAGGTCACCCAGCAAACAAGTGGCAGAGCTGGGACTTGAACTCCGGCCACTTGCTTCATCATCCATGCTCTTAATCAGCACATGTGATTCCTCACTGCAGACAAGTTGTTGAACTTGGGGCACAGGCCCTTCTCGGAAAGGGTCAGTGTGAGCCTGACAGTGCTAAGATACACTTGTTGGTAACTTTTAAAATATTTATTAGAAAAGAAATACATACTTACTATTTAAATGATATGTCTAGAGGTTAGAAAAAAAAAGTTCCTGCAGGCGCCCTATTAACCTCTGCCATTGCTCATTTATAGCTTCTCCAGGCTGTTTTTCCTCTGTGCATGTATGACACACATAAAATCAAAATGGAGATCATGTTATACATACTGCTCTGAAATTTTTTTCCCCAAAAATTATTTTCTGTTTTATGAAATAAGATGAGGAGGTTTGACGATTCCTTGGGGTTTGGGCTTTCGTGTGGATAATTCATTCATCACTGGGGTGTATCCACCGTGTGGCAGACGCGTCCTTGTTTTCTTGATGGGAGGATGAGGTTTAAACCTAGTGGGGGTGACAGTGTCCGTAGCCCGTGGCTCTGAGCTCCGGATAAACATGCGCCTCTGACCCGGATGCTTTTCCTGGATGAGTTCATTCACTTTCTGCTGTATCCCTGGGGAGGGGGTACTTTTGTAAACCCTGTTTTACAGATGTGGGAACTAAGGCTCAGAGAAATGGGTTAACCAGTCCATGGTCCCACAGATAAGATCTGAAAGTGTGTCTGTCTGACTCTTGAATTTTTTTGGAAAATCAGTAGAGGGTGACACTCTGAGAGAATAGGGTTAGAATATTTAAAATATATATATTTTTAAAAATATACATATATACAACACACACACACATATAAATACACATATGTACCTGTATACGTATTTCTGTGTTTTTTAGTGGAGGTACTGGGGATTGAACCCAGGACCTTGTGCATGCTAAGCATGCACTCTACCACTGAGCTACACCCACCCCCATGATATTTCTTTATAATAAAAAAGAAATTGCACGTTTAAAAGCCAGAAAAGCAATCAGATGTTCTCTTCTGCCATTGTTTTATCGCTGAGTTCCATGAGTTCCGTGTGGTAGGCTCTAGCTGTGGTGGACAGCTCCTCCGTCCCTCCCAGGACAGATCACCCCGCACCTGGACTTGCCAGCAGCCTTCTCTCCTTAATCCAGTCTGTGTTGTGTGGTGCTGAATGGGGATCACTTCCTCCCTGAGTAATTCTCACTGACAGCGGTGAGCCTCCAGGATGCAGCCTTGTTCGTGGCTCCTCCTGGACCTGTAGCCTCCCACCTCCCAAGGGCTCCCAGCATCTGAGCCCCCGCCACTACGATGTGGGGCTGGCCAGTGTCATCCTCAGGGATGAT